GAAGCCCGTTAAAATGAGTGAGAAACCCACTAGGGGGGACATTCTGAGCTTTCAATTTGTTATTCATGTCATATATAGAAGTAAGTGTATGTAAGGGAACTTTTCCAAAAGATGGAAAGTGGTGGGTGGGGTGCCACTGTGTTTGATTTATTACATGAGCAACATCTTAGCAAACAGAAAAGATAAGACCTTATTTTATATTCTAGCTTGTCAATATCAGTATTTTGAGTTTCTAATTTGTATGAAACTATGGACTTAGTATTTTGACTTCTAATTTTCGTATGAAACTGTGGACTTAGTATTTTGACTTCTAATTTGAACCAGTGTTACATTCAACATACCACGTGATACACAAAAATTGATGTTTATCTGTGTTTTTTTAATATTTACTTTTAAATTAAGAATTTGAGTAATGTATAGTACTAAAATTTGAATTATAATCTACAGTTTGATACCAAAGTTACTGACATAAATTCATGAATGTGAGTCAACAAACGAGATGACACGGCCTTTCGCCTGTTACTCATCTCAAAAGGGTTAAAATGGTTCACAAGGCACGCACGCAAACAGCTCTTGGGTAATGTAATTCGATAGCATAATGTGAGCTGCATGTTTCCTGAGTAATTTACAACATATAATGGCATGGATAGTAGTTAGACACAGTTCAAAGAGCAATAAAATTTAATTATAAATAGATGTATATTGTTACAAAATTAGATAAACGAATGTAGTTTGATGTTGCAATTTGAAGTCATTCTAGAAACAAAAAAAGGTTCGAATTGACCGATCCCATTTTAAGATAGGGTAGAGAAAATAACGGATAAACTCTAAATTTTTACTGAAAAAAAAACGTTTAGGAGGTTTTAAGGATTACACAAAGGAAATTTGAGATTTCTGAAATGAGGACAAGTACTTTTAATTTTAACATGAAGATATACCCACTATATTGAGAGAGTTATAAGTATTAAATCTATAAAGAATTTAAATGAGTACAAAAAGGTCATGTGGTCTGTCAAATTGACCAAGCCCATATTAAAAGTGTTAAGCAATTAGCTTAAATAATGATGCTTGATACGGCTGTTCTGAGTGCATGCAGGTGATGACAAGAAACTGTTAATCTAGATTCCATGGTGTTACTATAAAGGAAGTTATTAACGCTGTTTTAGAGAGGGAAAACTACCACCTTATAGGTGTAAATTATAGGTCTGTTCCGAATAATAGGGTTGGAATCCTAAAGCTAATGTTGGTTACTATCAAGTGTCACTTTTTTACTTGCTGTGGGTTATTGGTGTGTATTGACAAAAAGTTGTGAAAAAGTGCAGCCAAAAAAGGATTGATTGTGCAACTTAGAGGAATGAAATCAAAATTGGTGGCCAAACTGGTAGCTACACTTATAATATTGATAAGAATTTTACAGCAAATATTCATTCATTAGTTAGCTAGGCTGCATTTTTGTTCAACTTGGAGCATGATGGTGAGTAAAACAAAATATGTGGCCTAGCTAACTAATGAATGTAAAATTCTTATCAATACTATAAAAGTGTAATTGATTTCATTCCATTAAGTCACATGCTCTATCCTTTTTTTGGCTGCACCTTTTTTCTTTCACACCTGAGGTGTTTTTGATGAAATGCTAAGTAGTTAAAGCTCTGAGATAATTTGACTTAGCATTGTTTTGTTTACTTTTATATATTATCATGTAAGAAAATAATACAAACACTTCAGTTGATGCAGGTAAAATCTGTTAACAAGTGTACAGAGCATTTTTGACAGTGACAGTCCTCTTCAAGTATGATACTAAATAAAAACAGTACACTTGAATAGTGTTTAATAATTTATAAGAGATAAAAATTCTCAATCATCTTAGAAGTTTGTGTGTGTGCACGTAAGTAGAAATTAAAGCACTAAACATTTATAATAGCCCAAGAGAAGTGATGATGAAACTTATGTTTGATGACTACATTTCTAACCAAAAGTTCACTTGAACCATCTGACGTAAAGTATGTAGTCTTAGGCTTTAGGGGAGTAAAAACTGTTCAATGGGTATCACTGTTTAATTGTGTTTTTATAAATACTTGTATACCATAGAACAAGTTGAACATTTTCATGGTGATGAATTTCTTGCTTAGTGAAGTCTTTTATATATCATTTGAGCAACAGAGTCAATGTATTTAAAGAAACTTTTGTTCTAATCCTTTATTAGCACGTACCCTACATTTTTAATATGGTTAGGCTGAGTATGTCAACCTTTGTTATTCTCTCTAAGCTTATGACTTTGGTGAAGATTTATTAGAATGCTTCTGTTCAGTATTCTTCCCAGCAACTTTGTGTTAACAAGATTTCATTTTTTCCTGTTTTGCATGTTTTATTAGTTCCAAGTCAGTGTACAAGCCAAACTTCCACAGCCTGAATATGAGAAAGAGGAAGATGATATTGATGCTGCCTTAACAGATCTCCAAATTTCTCTAGAAGGATCTGCAGTGAATACTAAAGGCAAAGACATAACACATGTACCAGAACTTACAGATGAACTGCAGATCATCATCAAGTAAGACATTATTATTTCTCTCCTCTAACTGTTCATTTTTCAGAGAATACAAGTTAGTCATTTTGTGTTTAAACATTCAATGTCAGTTGTCATGCCTGAGACTTGTATCATACAATTTTTACATTTGTCTCCTACCCTATATTTGAGAGCTGTGCAGTGCAGTTCATATCTAAAGAAAAACAAGCACTTTTAAAACAGGCTGCCTAATGACTCTGATATTTCTTTAAATTCTTATCTGTTAAAGAAAAATGCTGTATTTTTTATAAATTAAAATCAGATTGATTCATGTATGTTTTCTTTCAAAATTTCAAGTGCATACTGGAGGGATTTACATTTGATAAAACGGTTTGAAAAAAAATGACCTCTATACTCCAAATAATTATAAAAGAACCTTTTATTTTAATCAATGTTTTTGCCTTTGCAGCTTCTTCAGGGTTAGTACATACAACTGTTTGATATTAGAATATTTGTTAAATTATAAAACTGCTTGTAATGTTCTATTTCTGAAGTTTGCCATAACATTCCTAACAATGTATGAATTATTATCAGTTTCACTATTGTACAAGTATTATAGTATAGTTATAATACTAACTATACAGCTATACTAACATATATATTACTTGTATGAAATATATAAATAAAGAAAACCATAAAATGTTTAATGATTAGCTACAAAAACAGGTAGACAGAAAATAGATGCTGCTAAGAAACAAAAATTTAAAGTTGAAAAGATACAGAGTTTTCTAGTAGTGTTAAAAACAAATTGTAAAACTGTGTGATATGCCAGAGTATGCAAGTGTTAAACTAAATGTAATAGTGTTAAGTGTACTGGTATGATGTATTGTTGTTTTGTAATGATGGTTAGTTACATGTACCATTCATTGTCTGTGTTTACTTTTTTCGTTAATGAGTGTAGTTTCCATACATTTTCTCTTTTTGAAATCTTTGTTTTTTTTGTAAGATAGAAACCAAGTGGTTGTTGATTTTCTGTGGTTGTATTGGAAGTGTCATACTGGCGTCAGTTTATGTTGGTCATATGTATATAATGCAGTGATATCTTCCGAGATGCACATGTGAAAATGTCTTCCAGTTTCTCGTACATATATTATATATGATTTGATAGACTACATTTTTGATGTGGCACATTTGTCCTGCTCTGTTTACTCTTGTATAGCATTGTTTTTGGCACATTTTGTTTGTGAATATGAAAAGTAAATTAATAGTTTTTTTATTGTTTTACCTTGTTTTTGCATTATGTTGATTGTCAGTTGGGATTGTTTAGTGACATTATGAATCTTGGTTGTGATTGTGTTGTTTATGAAAGGAATGTTCATTGTGAGAATTTTCGTGTATGTCGTTTTTGTGATTTGAAAACATTGTCGGTGTAATATTTGGGGTATCTTGTTTTGTAATAGTAGTGTTTTGAAGTCTTTTTCTGCTGTTTGAATGGCATTTGGCATGGAGCAGTTTCAATTTATTCTCTTTAATTCTTCTATCATTGTTCCCTTTTTGGCATCTTACATTCTTTGTTAAGCACAGAGCTCCATATTTGCTTGCCTTGAATTTTTAGAGTTATGTTTAAGAGTGTTAAGTATCCTTCTGTGTTGGGTAGCTTTAGCATGAACTTGACTGATGGGTGGAAGTTGTTTAGGAAATACTAAAACTGCTGTAGTGTTTCTTTTCCATGATTCAATAAACCAAATTAGTTGTTGATCTGTACCACACATCTGGAATTAAATTCTTTTTTTTTTCTGTATGTGTCCAGGACTTTGATTTCTACTGTATGCATGAATATTATTGAAAATTTATTGAAAATTGAAAAATAACAAACCCACAGGTCCAAAACTGGCTTAACTCCACTTTGTTAAGAGATACAGCTAGAGGAAATGAACACTTGTTAAGCACATCATAAACGTAAGTTGTCAAGTCTACTAGCACTTAAAAGCAACAACACTGTTGCACAATTACCAGAGGACACCGAAATGTTCTATCAAGTAGTCACAATAGAAGACGATAAAACTTCAGTTCAATGCCCTCCTCCTGCCACTGGTGCAAGTCCTGTAATCTTATGTTAGGGTTGAAGCTAGCACTCTATACAAATCTGTGATGTATCCCTAACATACCCTTCTCCCACAGCTGTTTTTAGTCCCACAGAGTCTGACGGTAGATTGGAGGCATGCACAAGTATCCATATTACATGTCAGGGTGCCTTTCTCCCACAGCTGGAGTCTGTCGCATAGAGTCTGACAATAGAGTTGAGATGAACATGGACACGAATCACATGTGCCCTCTTCCCACAGCTGTTGTCAGTCCCATAGAATCTGATGTTAGAGTTGAGGTGAGTACACAAGATATAGTCTGAACATGCCCCAACCATACTATACTATACACGTATTGGTTGTCCAACTTGTATGAAAATACTCGGATGGTCATGTTATAATTCTGCCCATCCCTGCACCACAAATTTGGATTCTGTACTTCTTCCCTTTTCCTACATGGGCAAAGAGTATACCTTGGAGGAGATAAGATGCCATCTCCCAGGGATGTGCCCCTATGGAGCCCTTGCCATCGGGTGTCACACCCCATGGGAATTCTTCAGATGTTTTCTGAAGGGTGCTCATCTAGGTAAGTTTTGCACCGGTCTCTCCACAGTATCATTGTGGGATTCTAGTTAATCCGTGTGAAAAGGCGAATTGTTGCCTTGAAAGTTAACATTTTCCTTAATCCTTTTGAAATGGGTCACGGGTGAAAGGCCATGTCATCTCGTTTGTTGACTCGCATTCAAAATTTTATTGAACTACTATTTCATGAATTTATGTCAGTAAGTTTGGT